AGCTGTCATTGTTGTTTGGCGGGTCTGGGCTGGGGATTCGAACCCGCCACCTTAGGTGTACGTGGCTGGCGCCTTAGCCGGTTGAGCTATAGGTGCCAAGCCATGATGAAATATTTCTAACTATTTTTTCTCTATTGTGATTTTTGCTGATGCCCAAGAGTTAACCTTTTCCTTATCAATATATTTTTTTAATAATGATACCTTGTAAGTCGTAAGTGTCACTTTCAAGGCCAGCGCTAGACTTTTTGCCACCACTATAAAATATAAATAATACACGTACTGTCTGCTAAATTCATGAAATAAATAAATAAATTACTTACCTAAATTATCTGCATAGCTGATTTGTTGACATCACTTGTTTAACTAGCACTAGCACACAGTACGATGTGTATTGTCTGAGAGACAGTTGCAGAATGTTTTCATGGTTGCTAATGCAAAGAATGCCATTGTTCATTAAGTCCAAACAATGGTGGTCGAATTCTAACAACTGATCAATGATGTGAACTTTGATAAGCAGTTCTCAGTAATCAGTTCTCAACAATTATTTACTATTAAAGTTTAACATTATAAAATTAACAAAAATAATATAAAACTCATATCCTGGTGAAATAGCCACATGGCAGTGTTGGGACCAGAATTGCTGCTGAGAGATTACCACACACATGTAAAGACAAAAAGTACTTTATTTGCAAGCATGTGCCTGGGCCACTCTTCCCTTCAGTGTGGCTGGAGGAAGGGCGACCCCCTAGTGAAGTGAGCTGAGGTTTTTAAATCGCATAGAGGAATTTCATCGGTATTTTGTTGGCCAGGCTGCTATTGGCTGAGCTGTTTATGGTTAGGGACCCTCTAGAGAGGGAGGTGGCTACTTGTTTGTTCCAGACAGTTTGGCTCCTTCTGAGTTAATTGTCCTTGCCTAGAAGTGAGGGAGGGAGCCAGTCTCCTTCTGATACTGATTCCACCTGGGCGAACATGCCCAGGAGGGGAGTAGGGAGTTTACATTAGCCTTTTCATTTCCAAATGAAGTTACATTAACCTCTTCATTCCCAAATGGAGTTACATTAACATTTTCAGCAGCCAAAAACCTATATTCCCTTCCTGTTCTCCCGCCCTTCCCTAGCTTGTCGTCGTGCATTCTTTCCAAAAATTGGGACTTTTTAAAAACACTGTGGGATGCAGGACAAATTGTAAAAAATTGGGACTGTCCTGCCATAAGTGGGATGTCTGGTCACCTTAGGAATGAGCCGCCTAGTCATGGAATTGCTGGATGTCAGTTCACCAAAGGCTGGATGACTTTAGCTTTGGTTCTCCCAGGAGAGGTGTTTCTGGAGGAAATAGTGGATCGTCTTCCTGATCTCCAGCATCACCTCTGCCTCCACGTAGGAGGCTGGACAGAGAAGCCAAGGACTGGTCCACCAGGTGCCTGCATGGGGGAAGTGAATGACAGACAGACCACAGCAAGTGAGTGTAGAGGAGGAATGCTGACAGGCAGGATAAGGGGAGTGATTATGAAAGTGCTTGATGTGTGTGTCCTGTAAGCCTCACAATAGCTTGTGAAGAAGCTATTATTAGTTCCATTTTATAGATGAGAAAATCAAGGCTCCAACAGTTCAGAAGGTCACACAGCCAGTAAATAGCATCTCCTGGATTTGACCCCTGGCCATCTGACTTCAAAGCCATGTCAGAGAACCAGCTGGGACACGCCAGCCTATCCCTGGGGCTGAAAGGAGAGTAAGGGCTTCTCAATTCCTGCTGTGAGCCTGGGACTCCTTGCCTTATCTGTAGGCCTTTCTCAGACAATATGTGGATGTCAGATATTTGCAACTTCTGCAAATTGAATCGGCTTTTGAATTTACTCAGAGCTGGAAGGAATCCTGCAGGAGTGGAGGGGAGTTCTTTTGCAAAATGAATGAACAAAACGTTTTTGTAAACCTAGGGTTGTTTAAAGAAAGACATAATTGCAATCGGCCTGTTCTTTTGGTTTCTTTTCTATTTTTTAAATTAATAACCTTTATTTTTAGAGCAGCTTAGGTTTGCAGCAAAATTGAGCAGAAGGTACAGACAGTTCCCATCTACCCCTAGTGGCCACACATCCACAGCCTCAATTAACACCCCACACACTCCATTAACACCCCACATCCCAGGGTACCTTTATTACAATCCACAGAACCTGCCCTGATACATTATTACTTACCATCCATAGTCCCTTAGGGGTTGCCCTTAGGGTTAGACATTCTGTGGGTTCCGACAAAGGTGTACCAGCATCTGCCATTACAGTATCAGAGAGGTGTCCCTGCCCTTTAAGTCCTCTGTGTTCCTATTTGTCCCTCCCTCCCTCCAAACCTCTGGCACCACCGATCTTTTTACCGTCTCCAATTTCTTCCTTTTCTACCATGTTATGCAGTTGGAATCATCATACAACACATAGCTTTCTCTGATTGACTTATTTCACTTACTAATATGCCTTAAAGCAGCGGTTCTCAACTTGTGGGTCGCAACCCACAGGAACTGTATTAAAGGGTTGCGGCATTAGGAAGGTTGAGAACCACTGCCTTAAAGTTTCCTCCATGTCTTTTTCACGGCATGAGAGCTCGTTTCTTTTTATCGCTGAGTAACATTTCCATTCTCTGGATGCACCACTTTTTATTCACTCACTTACTGAAAGGCATCTTGGTTGCTTCCAAGTTTGGGCAATTAGGAATAAAGCTGCTATAAGCATTGGCCTGCAAGTTTCAGTGGGCCCGGCTAGGTGGGTGTGACTACTGGCTCCACATTCCTGTGACTATGCTGTGTGGGCCCCAAACCCAGGATGGGAGCTCTGTTAGGGTCAACCAGGGCTCAGACAGAGGCACTACCTTCGGTTTGGGTGCCAGCTCAGCCTGTCTGATCAGTTCCCTGCCATCACTTTGGTGACAGTACCAGGCCACATGCCCTGTAACCTGGGCCAACACAGCCCTAGGGACTAAGAAGGGCCAACTCCATCCTTTTTCTCTTATATTCTTCTGTCTCCTTCAGAATCCAGCTCAAATGGTCCCTCTTTCCTGATCCCATCCTGTACCCCTCATTAGAGGGTTTTCCTCTTTCTTTGGTGATCAGAGACCTTCTTGTTCTTGTCACATTTTTGGTGGTGCAATGGTTGCAGCCTGAGCCCATCTCCCCTGTGCCCCGCAAGTGCTGTGAAGGTGAGGACGGCCGTCTCCAATTCAGGGTCCCTCATTCTACCCTCAAGTCCCTGCCAGGGCCTCCCACGTGGGCTCCATGATGTATGGGGTTAAATGGGACTGGATGTGGACCAGCCTAAGGGGCTGGGGCTGCTGCTTCCATGTGTTTGGGGTATCATGGAGTTTCCATGAAATAGTAACTCTTACCTTGCTGGGTGACCTGGCTCCTGCTGCCTCTCACAGTAGAGTGGGGAGCCTCCCTTATTCCTCACTGGGCACAACACATACCTTTGGGTGGGACATAAGGGGTGGGCCTTTAAATCAGTGCCCACCTGCCCTCTGAGGAAAATAGTAACAAGAAAAACTCAAACACTGTCATTGGGCAACAGCTCCATGCCCAGGATCCTGAGCAGTCAGAACCAAGTGAGTGGGGTGTGGAGCTGAGTCAGGAGAGGGCAATTGGGTAATCCAGGGGGGCTGTGCTCAACCCACGCTGGGCTTTAATGTGGAGTTTCAGGTACAGACAGGAGATTTCAGATTGTAAGTGGGAACTTCAGGACCTCCTTTACTTAAAACGCTGAAGCCACCTCCTGCTTCACCCGCATCTGCGAGCCTGGTCTGCACCTCACCGGCCATAGGTCCTGCCCTCTGTGGCCTGGAAGACTGCCCCTGCTTCCTGCCTCCTCCCCAGGCTCAGCGGGATTTGGGGAATTCCCTGCTGTACCAGTGCTAGCTCGGTCCCTGTCAGCTGAGACTTCCTGCTCCATCCCAGTCCTGTCTTGTCTGCATCTTGCCCTCGGGAGCAGGTGTGCAGTTTCCAAGTGACGAGTGACTGAGTGAGGCCAGTGACCCAGTGACGTGAGGCAGACAGGGCTGCCCCAGCCTTGCTCCACCCTCTCCAAGGTGGTGGGCTGGGCCAGGAGGGAGGGCAAAGAGGCTTTCTGCAATGCTCTTAGAGAAAGGTGGTGTGGGCAGTTGCTGGGAGAATAAATTGGTTTGACAAAAGCAGTAATAGCTAATAGCAGTCTCTGTTTATTGAGTTCATTCTGTGCTCTGGGCCCTGCTGGGCCCTTTCAATTCACACTGTCATTTAAACCCCACAGTGACTTAGGTATATTTAACAGATGAGGAAATAGAGGCTGGAGAAATGACTTGCCTAAGGTCGTACAGCCGGGAAAAGGTGTGGTATCTGACACTAAGGCCCAGGATGCATGACTGCTGGTGGGAGCACCGAATGGGGACTTCCTGTCTCTAAGAGTTCTGAGGCTGAGACTAACCTCATCCTAATTTGTGAAGGATGAGTGATGAGCAGGCCAGCTTCAGCTGTGGCCTTTCCTTCCAGGGGTCAGGGAAGAGCCCTTTATTCATTTATTAATCCCTCCCAGCTTCTATGATCCCTTTGACTCCACATGGCATTCTTGGGAAATAGGTATTATGATTCCCATTTCCCAGATGGGAATACCTAGGACTGTGATGAGCGGTACCTTTCCAGCATCAAATACCAGAGAGAAAAAGAATTGGGACCAGAATGTCAGCCTTGGTACCTGCTGTCTTCTCTGCCTTTTCCCCCATGGGGGTGAGGCTGCTATGTGGGTGTGGGGGTGACTCACACAGGGCACGTGGGCGGGCGGGCACTGCAGCTGTGGCTGGTGGGTGTGGACCTCCTGGCGCCAAGGACAGGTGGCCCAGCCAGTTCTGCCTCTAACACTTCATTCCGGCCATCCCTCTGCCTGTGATGAGAGCCTCCTGCTGCCTCAGCCATAGACCCACCAGGAGGCCTTGGGACCCAGACATGCAGTGATCTCAGACCAAGGGATGCCACTGACACCCAGAACCTCACCAGGTGAGTTCTCCCTGCACAAGGCTCCTGGGGAGCCCACAGCATGGAGGTCAGGGGTCCATGTCTGCCCTTTGCCAGTAGGCCTCGGAGGATGGTTTGAAGGAGCTGGGGCTTTTAGCAAGGGAACAAAGCTGTGAGCTCCTGGCTGCAGAGAATATGTGAGAATATAGGTTCTATAGGTCCATAAGGACTTGGGACCCTTTCCTTGAGTTTTGGGGATGCTGGGGGCAGGGTGGAGAGAACCTCTCACAGCTGTTGAGGGGGCAGAGGGAGGGTCCTGTCTCCCTAGCCGGCCTAGGAATATGGTTTTCTGGGGCAGAGGTGAGATGAGAGTTCAGGATGGGGTGTGGAGGCCCCAGATGGAAAGGGGCAGGGCTGGGCCCAGGTGTCTCCTCGGTGCTAAGCCAGCGCTGTGGCCCAGGGCCTGGTCTGTCTTGCAGGAGAGAGTATTTCAATCAGTATCATGGATTGGGAGGCACAACATCCCACTTTCCAGGTGAGGAAGCTCCATCCCAGGGAGAGGGAGGGCCAGGGCAGTGAGACAGTCCCGCAGGTGAGAACGCTGGGTTTATACAGTGACTCAGGGAACTAATTACAGCTGCTGCAGCCCTCATCCAAAGCTGTGCTGACCTTCTCCTGCCCTAGCTGCCCAGGACAGCCCACACTCACAGCCCCAGGCAGGGAGGATGGAACAATTACCTGTTAGGGCTAGAGGGTCTTTGGGGACTATGAGCCCATTGCTCAGAGGGAAAGCAGAAGCCCGGGAAGGGGTAAGAGATGCATCCTCTCTCTCTCCCCTTTATTCTTGGCCCAGCTCTCTTAGCTCCAGTACAGGTCACTGTGGCTGGGAAACGTGGTAAAGGACACCTCATTTTCATCTAGCTGTGATGGAGATGGGCAGGGATTAGGTGCCCACAATGCCCTCCTAGGGGTCTGCCCCACCTTGTCTGGTTTTGTGACCTACATTACAGGGCCAAAGCCCTTCCCTGGTGCCTGTTCCCATCCTGAGCCTGCAGATAGCCAGCTCTGGGTACTTCCTCTAAGAAGCTTTCCTGTTGGGGGCAGGAGTAGCAAGTGACCCACCCTGTCCTACCCCGCTGGGTTCTTCTTAAGGGAGCCCATCCCCTCTGTGTCCCTGCAGGAGACTCAAGCTGAGAATGCCCCTCACCCACTAACTCCAAAGGGGCAGTTTTCCCATTTCTGTTCTGTTCCCAGTTCTGTCCATCCCCCCTTGGTGGCCAGCAGGCTCCTTTCCCCATCTCCATGGCCCCCCACAGCAGCTGCCTCCTGGCCTGTTGGTCTCCCCAGGTACCTGCTCTAAGGCAGCTGTCTCCTGTGTAAACCGGACCCTCACTCCCTCCCCCAGTGCTCCCAGGGGCCCTCGGGAGCAACCTCACCTCCTAAGTGGTGCCTAAGACCCTCGCAGGGAGGCCCGACCTGCTTCTAAGCCTTCACCCCCAGGGCTCCCTGTGACTGGCTCGGCTTCTCCAGCCATACCAGCTCTTGCCTCTCACTGGACTTTCTTGCCTCCTGGCCTTAGGCTTGCCCTCCACCTGCACTCGTCTTCCTCCATGCTGCGCCCCTCAAGGCCCCTGCCAAGATGCTTTCCTAGGCTCCTTGAAAGACATATCTCTCTCTCTGCCCAACATTTCCATACCCTTTGGAGCTCAGCACAATGCCCAGCCGCCACCGAGCATCAGTGAAGCAGATCCGGACTGAGGGATCAGCCTCCTCCACTCAGGGAAAGGGGACTCAGCTGCTCCCCACAGGTGAGAGGGAGCCAACGGACAGAAAGCTGTGAGCCTGGTTACGCTCAGCTTTGGCTGGGTGAGGGAGTTGATCAGTGTGTTAACTGAGGAGACCACCTGGGCGCTGAGAAATCAAAACACCCCAGGAGCTCAAGGCTGCGATACTAGCAGCTTAGTGTCTAGAGCAGTGGTTCTCAACCTTCCTAATGACGTAATGTATTTTCATTGTTAAAAAGGAGTTGCGACCCACAGGTTGAGAACCGCTGATCTAGAGCAAAGGGGGCAACAGTCATGCACTGTTGAGTTCACACCTCTTTGAGAACAGCTCTGAACACAAAATCTGTGCAGGACATGGAGGAAGTAGAGCTAATTCTCAGGAGTCCACCTGGAGACTGGTGGTGCTGGAGGTGGTATCTTGAGAGAGGTTAGGAACATGGTTCCCACATGGACACTCTGCTGGGCTCTCCTAGAACCAGAGGAGCAGGGGTGCTGGAGCAGGGAGCAGGGGGAGTTTCAAGGACAGTCTCTCTGTGTCCTTGAGAAGAGTGGGTGACTGGGGAAGGTAGAGGGAGTGAGCTTCCTGCCCCAGGGAGTGTGAGCAGGACCTAGATGTGCCACATGGGTATCTGAAGCCCCCTGAAGCTTTTATATGTTCCCTCAACCAGAGCACCTGCCCTGTGATTGCGTTCTAGCCATGAATGCCCACCCCAGGGAGATGGTGCCTCTTATAGGCAGGAGAGTTGCTGCCCCCAGTGGGAACCCTGCTGTTTTGCCAGAGAAGAGGCCGGTGGAGGTGACCCCCACGAAGAAGAGGTAGGACCAGAAGCTTGGGACTGGGCTTCTCACAGGGAGGGCCACAGGAAGGGGCCTGTCACTCTCCCTGGGAGCTCTATGCTTGGGTAGTCCCCTGACACTCAGTCTCCACTGGGGTGGCCTGGTGCCTGAGTAGGTATGTCTGGTGGGCACAGTGGGGGAAATAGCACTACACACACACACAGAGTGAGCTGGGGAGGTCCGTGTGACTGGCCTCCTTGGAGGGGTCGGGGACAGTGAGGTGGGAATAGTCAGGAAGGCTCCAGGTAAGGTATTGTGGGAGCCATCCTTGAGACAAGGAGCAAAAAGGTGAAGGGGAATTCTAGGTGGCCTAGACTCTCCTCCCCAAGTTACATTGTCCACACACACCAATAGCTTTCAATCCGCTGTGCATCAGCCAGGGTAATCAAGCTCTCTGTGTTAATCAAGTCCACCTGTGTGATGGGGACGTGAGCAATGGCACCCACTCACAGGATGACAGTTAATTGGGATCATGTCAACAGCACTCAGCACCTGTCAGCGTTAATAGTGTTTTTGTTACCTTTGCCATTATCATTGTTGCTGCCATTCCACAGGGCCCCCAGGAATGGGGCTTCTGCATTTTACAGCTAGGGATACAGAGCGGGGCTGGGAACAGAGAAGAGACCTCTAGGGTCATGCCTTCCTGCCCCTCAGCTGTTTCCCTTGCAGATCCTCTACGCTGCTGCTGACTTAGTGTGTCTCAAGCTGCCCCTCCCTCAACCCACTTCTGCTGTGCTTCTCTTAGACCTGGTCCCACCTTGGATCTGGCAGGACCCTGGTCTTGGTTGGCCATACCTCCTCTGCCCCCCTCCCGATTCTTCCTTGAGCCACAGTGAGCTTGGTACTTACTCTCTGTCTGTTAGCTGGGGCCAGAATCACCAAGGCATCCTGTGTACCAGACCCAGGGCTGGGTCTGGGATGGGGACACAGGGACACAGAGAATTGAAACACTTGACCCAGCTCACAGTCTGGTGAGGGTGTGGGAAGTGCCCAGAGAGAGGTGAATGAGCCAGATGGGCTCATTCGGACCTTGTAGGCAGTCTCAGGGCACTTCCTGGAGGAGGTGGCATTAGAGAGGTTGTTGACAGGTAGAGAGAAAGGGAAGTAGAGGAATGTGGCACAGGGGCTCTGGGCAGGGGACAGTGAGGAGTCTGGTGTAGATGAAGTGCTGGGTGGGTGGGGGAGTATTTAACTGCTCATTGGGGCTGGGCAGTTAAATAACGTGGGGGTCAGTTAAGGAACTTGGATAATCCTGAGGGCAGTGGGGAGCCACAGAGGGATTTTGTGAGGCAGGGGGAGCATGGCGAGATTTGCGTTCAGGAGAAGTTACTCCGGGTGAGCCGTGTGGGTGATGAACAGAAGGGGCCTGGGGGCAGGGAGACCACAGGAGGGTGTGAGGAAGCCCAGGTGACAGATGGTGAGGTCTGAGCCTGGTCAGGGTTGGAGGAGAGGGGACAGCACAGAGAGACACTGGCATTGTGGGGTCTGTAGCATCATCTATGGGAGGGAAGGGAGAAGGAGCCAAGACACTCCCTGTTTCTGGTGCGGGGACCTAGACATGGGCAGAGACATCGCTGGTTCTTCCCTCAGCAGCACCAGTCAAACTGCCCTGTCTGAGCCTATCACAGTCACAAACGTAGATTCAGGCTCATCGCGGAAAAACTTCCCAGGCCCAGCCAAGCACCAGGGCTGAGGTGTGGCCTTTGCCTTCAGAATTGGTGGTGTCTCTTCCTCCCTAATGGCTCTCTGGAGAAGGTTTAGCCATCTCCCTCAGAGCTGGGTAGAGGACTTGGGCCCAGAGAGTGAGAGAAAAGAAAAGAAAAAAAAAGGGTAAATTATACATAAAGAAAGAGGGCAATGCTGACCTCCAAGGAAATATGTATTAATAGAGGAGTGGAAAATGCTAGGAAGTCTGGAGCAGGGCAAGGTTTTTGGACCTGGGAGCCCTTCCTGAACCATCATGCCACTTCCTGTGAGTAGCTGCCATCATGCTTCTTACTGTGCCCTGGGCAGGGTGATGCCCAGGATGGGAGACGCAGGCTGATGGAGGCCCCATACAGCTCACAGCATTTGGGCATTTCTTGGGGCAAAGCAGGTGACTAGACAGGCTCCTTCCCAGCCCTGGGGCTGCTCAAGGATGATTCTTTAACTTCAAAGGGACAGAATTCCCTATTCACCTGAGTCAACAATACCCAGGTGGTGCCCTTTGGCCTGTGCCAAAGGTAGGAATCAAAAAACAGCAGCTGCAGCAGGTCAGGAGCTGGGATGTCACATGGCTAAGACCTGGCCTTGCACTTATGATGGTGGGTGGGATGCAGTGTGTGCCGTGGTGAGCAGAGCAGCTACGGGACAGGGCCTCATGGTCTAGCAGCTGGTCTGCCCCAGGAGTGAAGTCCTTGCCCAAAAATCAGGTCCTCCCAGCTCAACTTTCATCACTGTCCTCACATCCTGTGCTTCAGCCTCCAAGGACTTCATTCATTCCCCAGATTCATCCCTTGTCATCTTCTGGAGGAGGCTTTCTCCTGCTGCTCTGTCTGCCTGCTCTGTGATTTCCAAATCACAGGCTGAATCCCACTCCCATAGGGCACAGTGCTTCCCTCATCCCTGTCCTCAACTGGAAGGACCTTCTTTTCCTTTGAGCTCCCAAGGTCTGACCCATCTCTGAAGAGGTTGGTCCAATGGGACAATGTCTTAGTTCTGGTTGAGATATCTGAAGATGGAGTCCTTGGAAGGGTCATCTCTTCCTTCTCTGGCCCCTGAGTTTCCTACCGGAAGCATATTAATAGTTTTTGAGTAAGTAGGTGAGTCAATGAAGGAGCAGGCAGGTAAATGAGAGGAGGAGTGGGTTAATGAGTAAGCAGCTGGGCTCAGCACAGCCTCTCACTCAGCATGAGCAAGGACACCGCACAGTGATATAATGAAAATTTCCTCCCTTCCCTTGGGCCCTTGGCCTTAGGCCTAGAGTGAATAAATGCTCTAATGATCTGAATTTCTGGATAATCTTTGGTCCTTTGTGGGCTCTGGGAGGAGGCCCTGAGAAGGGGAGATAGAGAGAGACAAAACTACTCCTCAGCTTCTTGTGCAAGATTGGGATGGGGATGAGGGCCTTGGGTACCTGAGAACACCAGAGAGAATCACCTGAAGGATGTGACATCTCAACAACATTTATAGTTTAAGGTTGTGTTGGTCTATCTGCTCATTGGTCCTGGCTACCTCTCTACCCACTCAACTACTTCTTGTCTCTCCATCCATCCACCGTTCCATCATCTATCCATTATTCATCACTCATCTGACCATCTATTGGATGAGCCATCCTTCCTCCCACTCATTTATCACTCATCCATTCAGCGAAGTCTTCTGTGTGTCAGGACCAGTGTTGGGGAATCAAGGATGATGCAGTTCTAGTGCCTGCCATCGAGGAACCGAATGGCTGGAGGATAGTGTATTGTTGAGAGCAGGGAAAGCTATAGCCTCACTGCATTATGCCTTGGCCTGGCCCTTGAGGCCAGATATGACCGCAGCAGCTCTGAGAGGAAAGGGAGTTTTGCTCCCTTGTTTGCCACTGTATTCCCAGCTCCAGTAACTGTGCCTGGTGCATATTAGGAATTCAACAAATATTTGTGTAAATACCAAGGAACTGAGGTAGGGTGAGATGGGGATTAGGATGGCTGAATCAACTGTCTTAGGAAAAAAACTGTGGGTGCAGAGGCTGGGGTTGTGTCTGGAGAGAATTTGGCCAATCTCAACTGGGATATTTGGGGGCCAAGCCACAAGCAGATGTGTTTGGAGCTCCTGAGTCAGGCTGCCATTTTGGAGTGGAGATAGCTTTGGGGCAGCAGTTCTGGGGCACTGCAGGGGTGCAGGGGAATGGAAATCAGAGTGGTCAATTTCTGATACCTACTGGATATTCCATAGGATGATCCTAGAGCCCTGGCTTCAGAGTCCAGGCCTTAGTGATCATCTGGCCTAACTATCATCCATTCAGGTGAGGATGCCGCCCAGGGATGGCGAGTGACCACCTAGGGTCACACAGTAGGCAGAGGCTGAGCTGGACTAGAACCCAGACTCTAGGTTCCCAGCAAGTGTTTACTCCACCCTTTGTCTTCTCTTTTGGAAGAAGGATTTAATTAAATTAATTAATTAGAGACAGTCTCACTCTGTCACCCTGGGTAGAGTGCAGTGGTGTTACACTTCCCAGCAACCTTAAACTCTTGGGCTCAAGTGATCCTCTTGCCTCAGCTTTCCCAGTAAGTGGGAGTACAGGCACCTTACACAATGCCTGGCTGTTTTTTCTATTTTTAGAAGAGCTGGGGTCTTGCTTTTGCTCAGGCTGGTCTCAAACTCCTGAGCTCAAGCAATCCACCTGCCTTGGCCTCCCAGAATGCTAGGATTACAGGTGTGAGCCACCTTGGCTGGATGAAGGATTTATTTTAGGTCAGGTCAGAAGGTTCCTCTTGATGGGCAGGAGAGAGGAAGGTGGAGGCCAATCATTGAGTAGCAATCCATTGAATCCATTGCTGGATTACTGCTGAGCCTTTCTGGCTCGTCTGTGCCTGGTGGAGAGGACAGGGAGCCCTGGGTCGTTCTCCTGCCTGACACACACTGAAAAGTGGCTGTATTGGGCAGTCCCCCTCTGTGGCCAGCTTCCCTCTGTGGCCAGCCTGTGGAGAGCAGAGTGGTGTGGACTGTGAGCCTGGGCACCAGGAATCAGGTTCTCTGACCAACTTGGTTTCCACCCTGGGGGATGACCGTGGATGGGCTGCTGCCCCATGCTGACCCTCAGCTTCCTCTTCTGTAGGATGGGCCACAGTCTCTTCCTTGCTGTCCTCCCTCTGAACTTGGTATTTCTGGGACTGCACTTTGGGAGCTCTTCTGCAGTCTTGAGAGGGAGGGAGGAGCATGTAGGTCCTTCTGGGCCTGGGGAGGAAGCAGGCAGAAAAGGCCTGTGTGCCTGGAGAGAGGTCTTGCTGGTCAGGAGGCCACAGTTCTGGGCTGGGTCACAGAGCTGGCAGTTGTGCTACCTCAGCTGAGGGGGGCGGGGGTTGCTGCCACTGAGGTCACCATTAGCCTGATTCACATCACCCTGGTTGTCGCCAGAAGGCTGGTCTCTAAGTGTGTAGATGTGGTTTCCAAGGACATGGGCGTCTGCGTTTGTGGGTGTGTCTGAAGGCAAGGCCCGGCTGTGCCTGGCTGAGAGTCACGTCTTGGGTGTGGTCTTGTCTCTCAAGGGGCAGTGAACATCTCCCTTCCCTAGGGCTCATCTGTGCCTGATCCTGGAGCCTTCTGTCTTTGTGCACAGTGAGGGGAAAGCTGACACTTGCCCCATTGCTCCCCACCAGGGCTCCTCTCCTCCATTGCCTGAGGTGGCTTCCTGGGCTTCCCTTCTTGACCAGAGATTCCCAGCCCTGTCTCCTGACCCCTCCTTCCTGCTTTAGATCAGCTGTTTGGAGCCTGTTTTCTTTTATGGCAAATAGTGCAAGTGCTGACCATAGGGCACCAGGAATAACTCCAGCCCTTTCTCTCTCCCTCAAGCCAGGCAGGCCCTTGCAGATCCCAGAGGCTAGGAACTCCCCAGGGCAGGGCCTTAACTGCAGACCTGCAGCCTGGGGGGCCTCTATGGGCACAGGGTGATTATGGGGGAATTGAGCTCCACTGCCATGTTTCCCATGGGTCCCATCCCAGAGGATTCCTGTGAGGGCTGAGGATGCCATGCAGGCTCAGAGCTGGCTAAGATGCCTGGTTGATGTGGGGGACACCTCCCATATAGGGATGCAGGATATAGGTGGACAGGTACTGCTTGGCTCTGATGACCTTCCTTGGGTGTCCCCTTAGTGCACACTTCTTCCTGGAGATAGAAGGGTTTGAACCCAACCCCACTGTCACCAAGACCTCTCCCCCCATCTTTTCCAAGCCCATGGACTCCAACATCAGGCAGTGGTGAGTACCAGTCCCTGGCCTATCCCCTGACTGGGCCCCACCCTCAGCTACAGGGAGGTGGTCAGTAACTAACCCTGGGCCATGTGGCCAGGCCCAGTTCTGGTGTGCTACCAACATACATTTTGAATCTGCCCTCTCTCCCCTCCTGCATTACAGCCTCTCTGGCAACTGTGATGACATGGACTCCCCTCAATCACCTCAGGATGATATGACAGAGACCCCGTCCAACCCCAATAGTCCGAGGTGAGTTTGGTCCTTCCCTGCCTCCCACTGTGTCCATCCAGGGAAGATGCCAGAGGGACAGGCTTGGGCCCTGTAGGAAAGAGAAAGAAGCTACTTTTCCTGGGGGTTGGGGCAAATATCTGGGGACATGGGCTCATGGCATGCAAGACATTTTGGTGGGGGTGGTAGATAGCAGAGCATCAAATTTTAATTTTTTTATTTTTTTGAGACAGAGTCTCACTATGTCACCCTCAGTAGAGTGCCATGGCATCACAGCTCATAGTAACCTCAAACTCTTGGGCTTAAGTGATTTTCTTGCCTCAGCTTCCCAAGTAGGTGGGACTACAGGCACCTACCATACACCCAGCTATTTTTCGGTTGTAGTTGTCATTGTTGTTTGGCAGGCCTGGGCTAGGTTCGAACCTGCCAGCTCCAGTGTATGTGGCTGGTGCCCTAGCTGCTGAGCTACAGGTGCCAAGCCTCAAATTTTTATAAGTGGTGAAATAATACTCATTATAAAACACAATAATATGCAGAACTTTAGCACCATGCCATTTATATAAATTAAAAACTATGCACATGCAACATCATTATGCATGTTGCAAAAACATATGCAAATATAAGGAGACACAGATACGTTCCATAGTTGCTTACTTAGAGTGTGAAAATGAGGAGGGAGAGATTTAAAAAGTTTTCAAACAACCCAAAATATGAAATGCCATACTTTTTAGGTAATTGCTATGAACAGTGAGGCAGATGTTTTCCCCATCATTACTGCGTATCTTCAAACATATATATTTGACAAAATATCCCACTGGAAGGGGATCCTGCTAGGGCAGCCCAAAGCCCAGGCCCCAGAGCACTCTGCAGGGGTTGCAGGCGCTGTGACAGTCCTGCCAGATGTTAGGGCAAGTGCACGGCCTATTGGGCAGCTCTGGCAGAAAAGGGTAAAGAGTGGGGCCGGGGTGCATGTGCGGTAAGTTGAAGACATTTTCTGGCCTTAGTGCAAACCTGGCCAAGGAAGAGCAGAGGCGGAAGAAGAAGCGGCTGAAGAAACGCATCTTCTCGGCTGTGTCTGAGGGCTGTGTGGAGGAGCTCCTGGAGCTGCTGGGGGAGCTGCAGGAGCTTTGCAAACGGCGCCGTGGCCTGGATGTGCCTGGTCAGTTCTTGGGCCTCCAGAGGGTGCAGGGCTGGGGGTCCTACTTGGCTTTTGCTTCCCATCTGCCCCCATCCCACCACTAATCCATGGGGCTGGAGTATGAGGAGACTCAAATGCTGACCAGGGACTTTGAACTTCTTGCTGAGGGCAATGGGGAGCCATGGGAGGGTTTAGGCAGGCGATGGTCATGGTCTGGGTACTTCATGGAGGATGTGGATAAAGCTGGGAAGGCTGTTGGCAGGCAGAATTGGGACCTTAAAGCAGGGCTAAGGAAGTGGGACAGTTCTGGAAAGCTCTGTAGGCAGTGGTATTGGCAGGACATGGGGAGTGAGGAGTCCAGCATGGGGCCGTTTAGACTTGGATAGTGTGGTGGGTAGTTGAGACTTGGCTGTCTTGGGTACAAGGCAGTAGTAGGTTGGAGGGGAGATAATGAGTTTTATCTGGGAGCCCTGAGGACGGGGCAAGCTGGAGACAGATTTCAGGGTTTTGGTACCAATGTGGACCATGGGATGCCATGTAGTGGGTAAGATTGCCCCACCAAGGAGAAGGTGCAGAGGGTAAGGAGCAAAAGGCCTCATATAATGCTCTTTGGGGCCATAGAGAGCAGAGAATGAGGAGTTATCCAAGAAGCTGGAAGAGGGACAGCTGGAGAGGGAGGAGGAGAGCTAGGTCAGGGTGGCCAGTGCGGTGGAGCGGGTCTGAGGCTGCAGCTCCCACACCTGTGGGCAGCAGAACCCCTCCTGCAGCTCCATCCTGTGACCCCATCCTGTGGCCCTGCCTGCAGACTTCCTTATGCACAAGCTGACGGCCTCAGACACAGGGAAGACCTGCCTGATGAAGGCCTTGTTAAACATCAACCCTAGCACCAAGGAGATTGTGCGTATCCTGCTCGCCTTTGCTGAGGAGAACGACATCCTGGACAGGTTCATCAATGCCGAGTACACAGAGGAGGCCTATGAAGGTACCTGCCTGTGGATTGGCTGTGCAGACACGAGTCTCCCAGGGTGGGGTGCAGGCCCGAGTGTTTAGCCTGGTGCCAGGCACACAACAGGAACTCCCATCTCCTCTCCTTCACTCCACAAATGCTTTTATTTAGAAGATGTTTATTGCATTACTGTTCACAGTGGCAAAAGTCTGAAACCACGTGTGCATGCCTCTTAACTAAGGATCACCTGAATAGATTGCAGGCTACCCCCACAATGGAGTATTAAGCAGCTGTTAAAAAAAGTTTGCTATATATCCAATGATCTGAATTAATGCCCAGCAGGCTATTGTTAAATGAGAAAAACATGATACAGAATAATGTAGAATCCCACTTTTTTGGTAAAAACAACTAAAAAGCTCTATTTTTTATATGTGCCAGTATAAAGACTGCTAATTTTAGTTGCTGGGGAAGAAAGGTGGAATGAAATGAATAGGGAGAGAATCCTTATATATGTGGAGATACACGCGGAGATCTATGTGAGTACTGTGTGCTTTCACCCATTGTTAGGAACATATGTGACTTTCCCCAAATAATTCTGTGGAGCACTACATGCCAGACATTGTTTTTGGCACCAGGGTGGAGTGGTGAACAAGACGCTAGGGAGCTGACAGCAGGCCTGTGGACAGGGAGGTCCAGGTCAGTGCCTCAAGCTTGCCTGTCCTAATTCTTCTCCTTTTTCAGTCCCCTTCTGTCCCTCCTTCCTTCTTGTCAGTGCTGCAGGGGCTCACAGACTCCCCTCTTTTAGCAGCATGTTTCCTTCAAGGCCAGGGACAGAGTCTGTTGCCCACTGTTGATTTCCTGGTGCCCTTAGGGTCCTATATAACAGATGCTTAATACATATTTTTTGAGTGCATGAATAAATGAATGTTATTAGTGTCTCTGTTAAGGCCTTGCTGTCCTGGTTACAAATCCTCATCTCTCTTTGTTCTCAGCCTTCCTTTGATTCTTCCTTCTTTCATGCATCTGCCCCTTGCTGGTGGGCGTGTGTGGGGCTGTCTGGACGTACTCTCTCTCTGCACAGTGGGAGACGCCATTTATTCCTGCTTCCCAGAAACCAACCTCTTCACTGTTCTGCCCCTTGAAGTTAGCTGCTGATGCCTTCCCTTAAGTCGGTAGTTCTCAACCTTTCTAATGCTGTGGCCCTTTAATACAGTTCCTGTGGGTCTTGACTCATAGGTTGAGAACTGCTGCCCTAAGTGGTTTTAGGCAGTCCTGGCCACCTGCGGTGGAGGGTCTCAGGACCAGGAGAATAGCATTTTTCTACACTTTGGGGAGTCTACCTTGCTTCTCTGAGCCTCAGTTTCCCCATTGGCAGGAGCTACTATTTCCTCCATGTATGGTACTAAGAGGATCCAATGATGACTTTATTAATATCATTTTTAAGCATTTTATCAGAGGTATTTGGAGCTTTATTTTTCCTTTGAACAATTATTCAACTCAAAATTTTTATTAAAAAATTTTAAACACCTAAGTTGAGATAGTAGCATAAAAACCTCTGCATATTATCAGGTTCAACATAATTTATCTTTAATAACATATATAGCACATGAATAGAGTTTCACTATAAAGTATTCCCAACTTATTTTAGATAAGTTTTTAAAAAAGCCTTCCATCTGTCTCCCACTCCCTGTATCCTTTGAGGACTTTTCTATGTCTTTGACATATGTGTGTATCTATATATGTACAGAAATAGTGTTATTATACTTATTTAACATAAAATAGTATACTATATGTATTGTTTTACAACTTCCTTTTTTTTGTGGATTAGCTGTATGTCTTAGAGACCTTCTTGTGCCAGAATATGAAAGTCTAGCAGCTTTTTACCAGCTCAGTGTGAAGTGAGGGCTGTTCCATGGCTAATTTCACCATTCACCTGTTGACAGATATTCAGGGGGTTTCCAGTTATTTGCACAAGTTGTGGCAGTGCACCTTCTTGTCTATGACCCTTTGCACAGATATACGCGTATCTTAGGGAGATACTTGGGGAATGTTTGAGTTAAAGGGCAGGCACATTTAAAATTATAATAGTTATTACCACATTTGCCTTCCAAAGGCAATTTATTCTCCCTTCTCCACAAGGTACAAAAATACTCATCTCCACCCACCCTCACTAATGCTGGAAATTATCCTTTTTGTTGGGGGAGGGTCTTTAACTCTTTGGGTTCTAATTCTTATTTTTCTGATTACCAGTGATCCCAAACATCTTTCGTATTGTTTCTGGACCATGTGTATGTTCTCCTCTGTGAGGTGCTTGTTTGCAAATCTTTGCAGTTTCCTTTTAGGTTGTTTGTCTTTCTAACTGATTTGTGGGAACTCTCTGTCTCTCTCTTTTTTGTTTTTGAGACAGAGTCTCACTCAGTCACCCTAGGTCGGGTGCTGTGGCACCATCATAGCTCACAGCAACCTTAAACTCCTGAACTCAAGCGATCCTCTTGCCTTAGCCTTTGGAGTAACTGGGAGTACAGGTGTCCTGACACAATGCCCAGCTGATTTTTTTTTCTGTTTTTAGTAGAAATGGTGTCTCACTCCTGTTCAGTTTGGTCTTGAACTTCTGAGCTCAAGCAATCCACCTACCTCGGCTTCTGACAGTGCTAGGATTATAGGCATGAGCTCCTGGCTGGGAGCTCTTAATATGTTATCAGACTTAAAAAATGCACCATCTTTTTTCATACATCTTAAATATTTTCCCCAGCATATCATTTGTCTTTTAACTTTCATCAGGATGTAGCAGGGCTGTCTGGAAAGTATCCAGCCATGTACTATGCAAAATGGAGATGTGTGTGCTGGATACTTTCCGGACAGTCCTCATATTTTGAACTACAGAATTCTTTAATTTTTATGTAAGCAACTATGTAAGTATTATCTTTATGGTTTCTGCATTTTGGGCCTTGCTTAAGAAGGTCTTTCCTACTGAAAGTTTAGTTATAAACAACTTTTTTTTTTTTTTAAGAGACAGAGTTTCACTTTATTGCCCTGAGTAGAGTGCATAGCGTCACAGCTCACAGCAACCTCCAACTCCTGGGCTTAGGTGATTCTCTTGCCTCAGCTTCCCAAGTAGCTGGGACTACAGGCACCTGCTACAATGCCCAGCTATTCTTTTGTTGCAGTTTGGCCGGGGCTGGGTTTGAACCTGCCACCCTTGGTATATGGGGCCAGCGCCCTACTCACTGAGCCACAGGCATGGCCCATAAACAATTTTTTTTTTTTTTT